CCAGTACTACTGTCAGCACATTGAATGGTTCTCATAGCTTAACCAGTGTGGATTTGGTCTGCATCAGCCATGCTGTTTAGTCATACATATACATGTCCTGATTTTAAAATATAAATATATTCTTAAAAATAAATTAAAATGTGTATACTTGTGTTTCAAAATGTATATATTGTGGTATGTTTTCATTTTTTTCCCCAGATCACTTTTTGGTTGGTTTTGTCTGGAAAACAAAAGATTAAAATGACATACAAGAAATTTTTAGTTGGGAGGATGATTTTCATTCTTCTGTATATTTCTAAAGAACATCTTATTCTGAGAAAAAAAGTTTTTGAGAGGAATAAAAAGCCTAACTCCTGATGTACAGAGGCTGAGGTACTATTAGGAAACTTCTGGTTTCATTGCTATTTGTCATTAACAGGACTGGCTTTAATAGGGTTAGGCAGCCTGGCTTTTTTTTAAACCACCTTTATATTTATTATAAAACATACTTAACCTGTATACGCTGATAAATTCTGACATATCTACCTGTGAGAAACCATTAAGTTTCATCAAATCAAGTTACTGAACATAACTGTCACCCCCAAAAGTTTCTTCCTGCCCCTTTGTAAGTCCTCCCTTCCATCCCCACCCCGTCACCACTCTGCTTTCTGTCACTATAGAGGAGTTTGCATTCTCTAGAGTTTCATATAAGTAGAATCATGTAATGTATGAAAGTACGAATTTCTGTATATCTTCTCCAACACTTGGTATGGTCAGTCTTTATAATTTTAGCCATTTTAGTTGATGTGCAGTGCCGTCTCGTGGTAACTTGTGCTTCCCTAATGACTGATGATGTTGAAAATCTTTTCACTTGCTGCTTTGCCATCATTCTTACCTTTGGTGAAGTACCTATTCACTATTTTTGCCCATTTAAAAAACTGAGTTGTGTTCTTACTGTTGAGTTTTGAGAACTCTATATTCTACAACTCCTTTTATCAGATGTATGTTTGCAAAGATCTTGTCCCTGTCTGTGGCCTCTCCTTTCATTCTTTTTTTTTCTTGTTAGTATAACTGATGTAAAACATTAATTTCAGGCTTTCATTCTTAGTGTGTTTGAAGAGCAGAGGTTTAATTTTGATGAAGTCCATTTGTTCTTTGGATTGTGCTACTGTTGCTTTAAGATATCTTTACCTAACCCAAGATGATGAAGACTTCTTTCTCCTAGAAGCTTAAAGTTTAGATTTTACATTTATGTCTGATCCATCCATTTTGGTTCTATATGTATCTATCTATATGGCTCCAGGTGTGGCTTTAAGATCATTCTCTTTCTTTGTATACAGATACCCAGTTGTCCAGCACCATTACTTGAAAAGCTAAACTTTCTCCACTGCAGTGCCTATGTACCGCTTTCAAAAATCAGTTTATCATGTATGTGTGAGTTTCTGTTCCACTAATCTGTTTGTCCTAATGCCAGTACTACCCTGTCTTAATTATTGTAGATTTATACTAATTCTTGAAATCAATGTTAGATTTCCAACTTTGTACTTTTAAAAGTTATTTTGTCTGTTCTAGGTCCTTTGCATTTTCATATGAATTTTAGAAAAAGCTTGTCAACTTCTACCAAAAATCTGGTAGGATTTTTGTTGGCGTTGCATTAACTCTATAGACCAATTTGGGGAGAACTGACATGACCCACAGA